TTGGTTTTCCTCCATCATTTTTGTTTCTCACTTCATTTAGCCATATCCTATAGAAATATGGAAAAGAAAATGTTGAAACTCTAAACGTCTGAAATATCTTTAGGACACCCTAGCTCTTAGTCCAACATTAACTTTTTTACTAGGTATATGACTTCTTTCTGGTACTATTTTAATTGCCCAAATCACCTATAGACTTATTCATTTCTGTGACCAGTTTTAAATTTCTAAGAAATTATTTTTGTTTTCTGCATAATTTCACTACTTGTTCACAAACACCATATCTTTCTACATGTTTTAGCAGTTATCTAGAGTAGTGGCAGTGAATCAAGGGAGGAGGATGGAACCAGTTGGGATCTCTCCACAGTTTACTGAGAGCAGCAATTCTCAAAGTGTCATTTTTTGAACCCCCAGAGGTGTTTAGACTATTGCGCAGGATCTATATTATCAAAAATATTTTTATAATATCACTAAAACATTATTTAAAATAAATTAAAACTCAGCAAAGTGGAAGTAATGGTACCACACTGCAATAATAGTTATTGTGTTCTTGAGCTCCTTTTAACTGTAGAAGGGAAGGCATTCCAGTTCACTTAAATATGTCCTGAAGTATGAAAAATCATTATTAAATTTATTAAATTGCCATTCCATCGTGCACATTATAAATACACTTATTTGATAAAAAGGGGAAGTACACATAAAACACACCTACTACATTCAACAATAGGGAGTTTGTGTCAACAAAAGCCATTTAGTGAGGTTTACTAGCGTCATCTTTATGGAATACCATTCCTGATTAAAAGAATGAATGACAAGGGAGGTTTAATTACACTTCAATATTTGGCCAATGTTCTAAAAAATGACCTTAACCTGTCCCTTTGAGATAATCCACTGACAACAATATATTCAATGATAAAATGTATGCTCTCAAGAGGAAAAAAAAAAATCTGGGCAAACCTGCATCCACCACTATCAACCTGACAGACTCCCAAGTACTTACAACACTTTCTGGGGAAATCTGTGGTGATATCAAAATAATCAACATAAGACCACTTGATTAATTTTACTTAAATGTGTTAACACTAGAAGGTCTATATAGCTTGGTCCAACAATGCATGACTTAAAAAAAAATCATGTATTAGCACAAGACCAATTCAATGTACAAGACACATCCACAGACTTTAATGGATAAAATATGGACTATTCAATGACAGTATTTTATGGTTCTTGTGGAAAAGAACTTTTAAGAAGCTAACACTTGTATCATTTTAGTGTAGTATCAAAGATGAATACTGGAAACGTTATTAAAAGCATTCCGCTTATAAATATTTGTGTGAGGCTACATTTTTTTTTGTTTCAACCAAAGTCACAAGTTAAATGCAGAAAATATGAATATCTAGCATTCTCTGATGACAAATAAAATTGTAAAAAGTAAAATGATCCATTTTTCCTAAGAAATATTTTAATTTGGGAAAAGTTATTTTTCTTTGAAACTACTGTTTCAAAGAGTGCCGCACATTTTTCATGCAATTATTTAACATGCAATCAGTTATTAATATTCAGGAGGAATAAAATATCTGGAAAATGGCATTAACTTCTAATATGGCAAATATTGATAGACATAACCCACATAAATCTAACTATCTCTGGAGTGCACATTACTTTCTAAGAGCATATAAAGATCCTGAAACCAAAACGATTGAGAACTGCTGATTTTACACC